CCCGGCACCAGTGCAGGCCTCCTCCCCATAGGGCCTAGGAGGCGAGCTCCCCGAGTGGGGCGAATCGAACAGACAGATTTTGAAACACTTAAGAATTATTATTTCTCGATGAAATTGAGCTGCAGTGTCCGAGAAATGGGCCTACGCTAGGCCTAGTTGGTAGGGCCTTCTCGAGGGGCAGGAAGCAGCGTAGTCGCAGCAGTAGGCGCTGTGCACTACATTTGGGGGCTGCTCTGGGATGAAATCTTTGTTCTTTCCGGACTTGGGAATAGAAATACTATGTTTTAATAACTTGCGCCTAGAAATCTTCGCTCGGTAAGGGATGTATCTCCGCAACGGACGTGTTATCGGCCCCACACCGCAGGAGACTTCTACAATGTCAGTCAACAAAACGCCGAGCGGGACACCAGACCATCATCGCCACGCGACTCCCAAGCCCACTGTGGCAGAGCGGCCGCATGGGCATAAGGAGGCGACCCCACAGGTGATACCTATGACCAATGTTATGCCAGGGGACAGGCCCTGCGTCAAGTGGGACCAATTCCAGTCCGCAGTGAGTGTGATAAGAACTGTTATAGAGGGGACCGTGGAATCCGGCGCAACAACTCCCATACTACCAGAAGACGGCAGCACAATGCAGGCCTTTCTGCTGCGCATCGAGCGCCGGTACACCCAGATGGGATTGGAACCGCGCGAGTGGGGAAATGCACTTATAGACCACCTTGTGGGCCCGGCTCTAACGTATTGGATGTATCTATGGAGAACTATCGACCTAAGCGACTGGGCGACAGTACAGCGCAGGCTTCTAAAGCGGTTTGACAAAACAATGTCGCAGATTCAATTGTTAACGGAGTTGGCTAAAGTACGGTGGAATGGTAACACGAAGGAATACACGGACCGGTTTGAGGCTGTAGCGGAGCGTGGGTTGGGTCTTGCCCCCGACGAACTCGCGGACTATTACTCCACCGGGCTACCGACAGACCTCCACCTTCTAATAACCAATAACGGACAAGTGAAATATCAGTCGTGGGAACAAGCGGCGACCGCCTCATCACGACTCTACGAGCCCAAGCAGAGTGTGCTGGAACTCCGAGAAAGGACCAGTCGAGCCATTAGGGCTGCCGTCCAAGCTAATGGACCTCGTGGGCGCCAGGAAATTGAAAATCGCCCTGGGGGAACCCACGCAAACTGCTTTGAGTGTCAGGGTCGCGAACATGTGTCTGCCCCAGCAAAGGGGAACGTACCAGACGTCTGGGGGAAATATGCAAGAAGTGTGGCGGTGTGAGACACTATGCTCGGGACTGTCCTACGTATGAACGAGGCCGGCCCGAGCCGGTGGGCAAGAGCAGTTGGGCGCCCACCAATCCTAACACTGAGAAGACGGAACGACTAAACGTGCGGGCCTAGGCGTGGTTGGAGACGAGCGTTCTAGGCCGCGTAGTCATGGCAAAGGGATGATGTGTGCGGTAGCGACAGGCCCTAATGCCATTCCAGTCTCCCTCGAGTGGGGAAACCAACTCCTCCGCACTGCGGGAAGAGCAAATACGAGCGATTGGCGCGCGGAAGGGACTCAGCCGCTTTTGGAAACGCGGTAGGAGTCTGGGTCACCGTCGATCCTGAGTGAAGAGACTCCGGACGCGACGACGGATAGCAGCAGGAAGTCTGCAGAGGCAACAGAAGACGGCTATAGGTCAGACGCGACAGAGATTGTGCCACACTGGTGGAGGGAGACTTGCACGAAAGAGTCTTACGACCAAGGGGGAGCGTTGTGTTGTGCGGGTGAGACGGCGGTACTTCGCGTTGAGCTCGCAGGGAGTCCTTATAAGGCCCTCTTGGACACTGGGGCTTCGAGAAGTTTCATTAGTCCTAAAATAGTCGAACGACTGCAGCTGCAAATGCGGAGACTTCCAAAAGAACATAGGTTCACCATAGCTACAGGTGCACAAGTACGCATTGATCGAGTAGTGACGGGATTGACGCTGTGGTGCGGACATACTCGTTTTTCCGGGGACTTTTTAGTAGGACCTGTTCCCTACGACTTAGTTTTGGGTTTGGATTGGCTGACGGAACACAAGGTGGCCTGGTATTTTCAGTCTGACAAACTCCGAACCTATGTGAATGGCCAGTGGTGCGAGTTACCGGTCGTTCGGACTGGCGAAGCAACGCTGCAACGTGATCGTCCAACCGTAGTCCACCCGAGGACCCCAGCAGAGCAAGCATATGAGATATTGGCCAAAAAAGTGGCGGGTATGTCAGCCGAGGAGGCAGCTATATTCCTACGCCCGCCTCCAAGGAGGTATAAGTCCCACGCGAAGACTAAGGCGAAGGCGCGGATAACGTCGCTCGTTCATCAGCCGGCGGCTGACACAAATGATCTCCGGACTCCATTGCACGGTTTGCATCTCATACTGGCTTTGCCCAAAGCCGGTTCGGTAGTGCCCCTACGGCTCTCGGATGAATGGCAAGGCGCACTTTGTTGCGCGTTAATTGGGAATCAACCCACGTCTTCCGGCTGGCGTAGTCCTTTGGCCTCAACCGCCTCGGTGGTAGCGGAGAGTGACTAGGAGTCTCCCTGGCCTATGGCAAAACTCGAGCACACTCTGTTCGACAAATGGATAACTTCGCCAGAGGCGCAGGATATTCCATGTGAGGTTGCCCAGGTGTTGCACGAGTATTGAGCGGTTTTTCCCGATACCTTACGTAAAGGATTACCGCTGAAGCGCCCTCATGATCACCATATTCTCCTTGTGCCTGGAAAACTTCCAGCGAGATCTGCAATATACCGTATGACCCCAGATCAGCTCAAAGTCCACAAACAGTAGATAGCTAAATTATCGGACAGTGGTTGGATCGGACCGACCTATTCGCCTATTTGCTCTCCTAAGATCATGGTGGACAAACGTGACGATGACTCCGGGGAGCGGAAGATGCGTATGGTTGTCAATTACCAGGCTCTAAATGCCCTTACAATAGGCGCTGATTTTCCACTACCTCCCATTCAAACCATTCTGGAGATGCTGAGAGGCGCCACGTATTTTTCCACCTTGGATCTTGAAGCAGGATTCCATCAAATACGTATGGCTAAGGAAGACTGGTGGAAGACGGTTTTCCGGTCCGTTCTCGGACTATTCGAGTGCCGCGTGATGCCCTTCGGCCTTAAGGGTGCTCCCGTTACGTTCCAGGCCAATATTAATGCCTATCTACAACCTTTATTGGGACAGGGCGTTATTGGGTACCTAGAGGATGTACTTATCTATAGTTCTGATCTCTCTGGGCACGTTTCTCTCCTGCGACAAGTCCTAAGCATTTTTCTTAGACACCAGTTCTACCCAAAATTCCGCAAATGCAAGTTTGCAAGACAAACAATTACATATTTGGGTTACACCATTTCTGCTACGGGGATCACACCCGCAGAAGATAAAATCGCAGCCATCTGGCATTGGCCAGAGGTGCTGGAGAACGAAACGCAAGTGCGCCAGTTCCTCGGTACCACAAATTACTGTCGCATGTTCATGGGACCGGACTATGCAGACGTTGCCCGGCCGCTGGTTGATCTTACGCGTAAGACGTCAGTTTCGAATGGACAGAGCTTCACACGCAAGCGGTGCGGCAGCGCAAACAGCGCTTAATCGACTTCACTACAAGTCCCTGACACGACGAAACCCTTCGAGTTATACACAGATGCCTCTGGCTATGCCATGCGATCGGAGCAGTTCTCGGGCAAGACAGCAAACCCATCGGCTTCCTGAGCTAAGTCATGAACCCCACGCAACAGAGATACTCGATCTACGATCAGGAACTCTTGGCGTTGGTCATGGCACTGGACAAGTGGTCGCACTTGCTCCGTGTCTCCAAGGCAACGGCTTACACTGATCATCAAGCTCTAACCCATCTCCAACGACTCCAAGCATCGAAGCCTCTGCGCGGACGCACCGCCCGGTGGCTAGACTTTCTTGCGGAGTTCCCGGACTTGCACATCACGTTTGTTCAAGGCGCGCCCAATCAAGTTGCCGACGCCTTGTCTCGCCGTCCCGGCCTTCCGAACACCTGCTTGCACGACACACCATCGGTACCACTGATGCTCGCAATAGGACAAGCGAGCGCGGCTCCCCGCTCTCGTGGTCGGCCTCCCAACTACAGGGAGCTCGCCGGAATTCGTTCGCGACGACATAGACGACGCAGCATGCCGTCTGCGCCTCCATCTGCGTCGCCGGAACCCAACCCAGAGGCGGAACCTCCTACACTCACAACGAAGTTACCAGCTGACCCTCCTGATGTGCGCCATTGGCCACAAGCTTACTCGAAGTGTCCTGTTTTTCGCGTTCCCTACAAAGCCGCAGCAAACCAACCAGGAAAAGCTCTATAAATCGAGTTTTGTAATCGCCAATTTACCTTTCGATTGCTAGAGCCTTACCTGCACATCCGCGTTCATGGACTGTGGCGCATTTGCTTTCCACAATTCCCTGAGTTCCTTACTCACGTTCTGCATTCGCATCACGACCATGTCACACGGCCATCGAGGCCAGAAGAAGAGCTTTGCGGCTCTCAGCAAGCACTACTACTCGCCAGGAATGCGCGCCTACACTACTGCTTATGTTGAGTCATGTACCCACTGTCGAGCGTAAAAGTCTATTACCCAGAAGCCTGCAGGCCTTCTTCAACAGTTGCTCATCCCTTCTCGTCGATGGGCGCACGTGAGTCTCGGCTTTATCACAGATCTTCCCCTTACAACGACAGGGCACGACTCGATCCTTGTCATGGTAGACTCCCTCAGCAAGATGGCTCATTTCGTTCCTGCAAAGAAGTCATTCACAGCAGCAGACACCGTGGAGCTTCTCGCAGACCGCCTTATCCGCTATCACGGTTTTCCAGAGGTGCTCATATCGGATCGCGACCCCCGTTTCCAGTCGGGTCTTTGGAACCAGCTCTGTCGCCACTTTAACATCAAACGGTGCATGTCCTCGCCCTACCATCCCCAAAGCGACGGCCAAACTGAACGGGTTATCCGCACACTGGAGCAGATGCTTCGTGCCTATATCAAATCTGACGAACGCGAGTGGGAGCGTTTGCTTCCGGCCTTGGAACTTGCCTACAACACAACAAGTCATTCATCCACTGAGCTCTCTCCTTTCGAGGTCATGATTGGAGAGAACCCGTTGACTGCTGCGGACCTTGATATCGTAGGCGCGTTAGCTCCTACGCTCAGTCCTCCGATGATTAAGCTTTTCCGACAGCTCTGCGACAGAGCATAGAGTCACATCCTGAAGGCAAAATGGCAGCAGAAGTACTACGCAGACACAAAGCGCCGAGCAGTGGAGCATGCGGTGGGAGACAAGGTCTGGCTCAGCAGCAAGCACCTACCGCCTTTCAACAGCTGCCCTAAGTTAGAGCCCCGTTACCGCGGACCCTTCGAAGTCATCGAACGCATAGGAACTGTCGCTTACCGTCTCGCTCTGCCTCCCACTTATGAATGCCTTAACGTTTTCCACGTCTCGCAGCTAGTTCCCCATCGCCCCCGCCCTCCCGCTTTGGTTCCCTCGGCAGCCGACGCCGCCTGGCCTCCTATCCACGATGCAGCAGGCAATCCCACAGAGGAATACGAAGTCGACTATATTCTGGACCAACGCGGCTCGGGAGATGCAGCCCAGTACCCCGTGAAGTGGGGCGGGACCCCTGAAGATCAAGCCACACGCGAGCCAGCTCACCACCTTACAGGCTGCCCGGCTTTGCTTCGCGCTTGGCGCCACCGCCGACGAAGACATCTTCAGGCTCGAAACAACATTGGTCCTTCCGAGGCGTAGACGTATGGATCCGTCACATTCCACCGCCTACAGCAAGGGCACCCTTCAATGAGGAGGGGGGAGGGAGCGCTGCGCACCGGTCGCGCTCACGACGTCAGCTTTAGAAGAGCACAGAGATTGAAAAGGCAAAAATAATGTGTTTTGGGGTAGGTCTCTTCAGTCCAGCAAGGGGAGAACTTGTAGTGCACAGGCACTACAATGGGGCTGGCTAGTGTCCTAGAGACGATAGCTAGCTAGCGACCTACAAGGGGTCGCAACACTGGAGGAGGAGAGGACCCTCCTAATAGGATGACAGTAAGAAAAGCTGTCTATTAGTTCTAATGAATACGTGAAATGTGTGGAAATTGTGTGGAGGCTGGGGCTGGCGATAGCGCCGGCACCAGTGCAGGCCTCCTCCCCATAGGGCCTAGGAGGCGAGCTCCCCAAGTGGGGCGAATCGAACAGACAGATTTTGAAACACTTAAGAATCATTATTTCTCGATGAAATTAAGCTACAGTTTCCAGGAAATGGGCCTACGCTAGGTGTAGTTTGTAGGCCTTCTCGAGGGGCAGGTAGCAGCGTAGTCGCAGCAGTAGGCGCTGTGCACTACAAATGCAGGCCTCCTCCCCACAGGGCCTAGGAGGCGCGCACCCCAAGTGGGGCAAATCGAACGACAACAGATTTTGGAAACTAAAGAATAACTGTATTTCGATATATATAAGCTACTGTTTCAAGGAAATGGGCCAACGTTAGGTGCCGATCATAGGCCCTGCTCGAGGGGCAGGTAGCAGCATAGTCGCAGCAGTAGGCGCTGTGCACTACAACTACGCTGTTACCTGGCCCACGAGTAGGGGCCTATGATAACCTAACTTCGGCGCATCTCTTTGAAATAACTGCCCAAATATCGTACTCCAGTTTTCAAATCCATTTTCCTTAAAAGTCCCCGACTTGGGGTTCTGGTCTCCTTGGCCCTGTGGGGAGAAGGGTTGCATCGGTGCCCGCGCCATCGGCAGCCCCAATCTCCAGGTATTCACAGACGCGTCTAGTGTATACATGCTAATTTGCTTATAAAATGCCTCACTTCGATACTAGTAAGAAGGTCCTGTCCTCATTCAGCGTGTTAACCTCTCGTAGGTCTCCATCTAACTGTCTTCCTACGATCACCAGCAAGCCCTACTGCAGTGCCTGTTAACGACACAATGGACCTTGGCGTCGTCATTTTGATCTCCTTAGTCGTAAAACGGCACCAAGACTAGCCTCAGCAGTCAACGTCCTGAACGGTGCTGCACGGATCGTTGTGCTCTCATTGCCGATCTTTAAATATTGAAACTAGACACCAGCTTGCAAGGTACCCTCGCCGAAACTGCCTTTTAACTCTTGTTACCTCTGCTCACCAGTTCTAGCCGTGCTAACTTCCAAATGATCCTCGTAGTATCCTCGGGCATATAGCCTTTGACTCCGCACCATACAGTTCTCAGAGTCATAGCCCGTTGTGACATGAATGCTGGTTCAATCTTTACCAGACTGGTAGTGTGGACACGAAACCTCTGCTCCTGCACGTTTTGCCATGTGCTTGTGTTCATTTGGCCGAGCTGCCTTTATTACTGTATCGCCTGCCAAGACTATGCCGCACATGAACTAGTGTGTCGTTGATATTAGATGAGTCCAGTACGAGCGCACAGCGTTGTCTGCGTGTCCCGTGTCGCTGAACTGCGCTGCCAATCCCACCGTTCAACGTTTCATGTATCATAGGGCGAGCTTGCGTGGATAGCCGCAAGGGCAAGAATACCAACATCAGCTTAAATGCATTGAGGCGGACATCTGAGGGGCCGGCATTCATTACAGATGGCACGGAGCCACAACAGTGCGCAACCATGTCACACGGCAGCGACGTGGCAGAAAAGCATTTGCCTACGCCTGATCACTTCTGTAGTCTACAACAAGAAACCGCGATGAGAGTTCTTCGTTTCTGCTGAAATACCACTTCAACGGGAACTAGACATTCTAACTGGACACTGCACAGTAGTGGCTTTACTAGGTCAGAAGAACACCAGTAACCAGCTTTCCGCCAGTGGATCACCCTAAAATTGCCTTGTGAGCCTCCCTTGTGTCCTTAATGTTTGTTGCTTTGGTAGCATTACATATATGTTGCAATTATAGTCTTCTTGCCCAAAGAAAGCGGGCTCGCACTCAGAGCTCATATTCACCTAGATGCTTCAACGCGAGCTGCAGAGCAGACGCTGACTGGGCTGCATTACTCTTTTCTGAGTATACGCGGTATTTCTGATATTTTTGGCCCTTTTTATCGCAAAATTACGTCTAAGTAGAAATCTAGATGAAAAGCGAGAGGCATTCTACTCGGTTTGTGCCTGGTGTGTCGAATATGGGGCCCCCCGCCGCTCTTGCGGGGCTCAGAGAGGCGCAAGGCTGTTTGGGTCTCGCGACGCTCAATCCTGTTCATTTTTTCGTGCCATTCGATTTTTCGTGGGCTTGAGATGTTTGCCCTTCATAATTTCCGCCTTATTTTTTGCTGAAGAGAAAGCACAGGGGCCGCCGCTAGCAGCCATTCTGCGTTCAACAGCCCCACAGCGGCGTCTTCTACTAGTTGGCCGATAGCGGGTTTTTTTAATTGTTATCGCGTGCACTTTCGTTTTGCATCTCTTGTTTTCTATTTCGTGCCACTTTGGACGGGCGCTGGACGCCACTGCTCCCACCTCAGGGACGGCGGCGCTCTACCTGCGGCCTTTACCACTCCCGTACAGCTACGGTTGGCCATTTATACTTCGCGTGTGCTCTGATTGGCATTTTTACACGATCTGTGTTCATCAGAGCCTCAAACCGTGTGGAGGCATCGTTGCCAGTGGCCACGGGGAGTCTGGGAGCCTTCAGTCCAGTCGTCCCTCTTCTGAAGACTGCCTCTTAGCGTCCGTCGTTAACGCTGAGGCCGAAATTAGCACGACCACGTACTGATAGCTTTTCGAAGGCTTAGTCTTTCCTGAAGTGGTCGGTGATCTCGGGCGAGTTCTCCGGAACAGCAGAGGGGCGTTGTGGGTGGCACGTTTCAATTTGAATCTCCCTAGGCGATTTCTACAGTGGACAGACCGCAAGAGCAGGACGTAAGGTGTTTACCGCAGTGCGCAATCATGGCGGCTGCAGCACTTTTTCCAATGGCAGCCGTAGCACCAAATAATGGCAACTGTTTCAGCGGTAGTGGCAACAGCGTCCCAACAATGACATCTTGCCGTTCTCCGAGGGGCGCCCACTCACCACAGCGTGCGGAGAGTCCTCCCACGCAAGATGGTGGCCAGGAGCAGCATCAGCACAAAGAAGAGCAGCAACAGCATTGGCAGGAGAGGTTACCTGCTGCCGGCGAGGCGAACAGGGCGCCGCACCAGCGGCACCCCTTGGAAATGGAGGACTCGGGAGGAGCAACATCTGTTGCTTCTCTGCGTCCGCTGCCTTCCCGGCAAGGTACGCAGCAGCCCCTTGACCTTCTTCAGCGGAGCCAAGGGTCTCAGGGAGCTTCTAACCTTTCCGGGCGCTCTTCTCTGGCTGCGAAGACCTCATCTTTGCTGCAGCGGAAGCAACAGTTTTATAAGGTGAGCTCAGCATCGCGCTCTGTGGTTTACTGTGGCGGCCTAATCATGTGTAGTTTTTGATGAGGGCTGCGGAAGGGGGTTTGCCTTGTCTACCTTGAGTTTGGCCTAAGATGAGCTTAAGAGCCTTCCCCAGACATGACGGCAGCGTTCTGTGCATTTGAAGTGGCAGAAATAACTGTTGGCAGTTCGATTTGCAGTCACTCTCGGGTGTATTGAGGCTTGTCGAGGTGCAGCTGCGCTAATTTGCGCCATCGGCCACTGGCCTCCATAGCGTACTCTTACTGGTGTCTTGAATTTCTGGAGCTCAAGCCCGGGCCGCATTCGTTTTCGTTGCTACTTTTGTGGATTTTGCAGACAAAAATGTGCCCATGGTTCTCTCGAGGTCGCTGTGACAGAGGCCCTAGCTGCCAATTCGCGCACAACACTATGGAACTCCGGGCAACTCCGGACCTCCGCAGGACTTCCCTCTGCCCCAGGCTGAAGCAGCTAGGCCGTTGCATAAACCGAGACTGTTCCTACGCTCACCAGCCTCAAGAACTGAGGGCCACTGGGTGCGTGACTGTGGCTTTTCATATCGTTGCTCCTGCCTTATTAATGCTTTGGATGTATCTAGGTGCGGGTGCGAAAGTTGTTACTGTAATATGCTTGTGCTTCAGCTGCACGCAGAGTGAACTTATGTTGCTCAGTATTCGCAGCTTCTTTGCATTTCCGTATTTTGTTATCTGCTTGCAGTGAGGTGTACAAGACGGCGCTTTGCGTCAAGTGGCAGTTGGGCCGCTGTGCTGTCGGCAACTTGTGTCGGCATGCAGTGAGTCGCTTGTAGCTTGCAGCGGCAGCAGCAGACTCATTTTAAGGAACTGTAGCAGTAAGATCACCACCGTACCTCGCTGCGGGGAGTTATGGGCAAGTGGCTATCGAATTATGTCATGTTTTGCTGCAGCATGGTCCTGAGGAAATGCGAGGAGTTGCAGTGACCCAAGTGAGCGCCCATAAGAAGGAGCTTACAAGTCCAGCTACTGCTGCTAGTTCTTCTGCTTCTGCTTCGTGCGGACTGGGTCGACTTGCCGAGCTCGCGGAAGGCGAAGTGAGCAGCAGAAGCAGCTTGGGCAGTTCCTCCGGAAACAGCAACAGTAGCGGCAACAGCACTTGCACCTCTTCGCCAGCCCCGTGCCACTCTCCCTTCTCAATTCCAGGAACAGCTGGAGCCCCAGCGGCGGTACCGGCAGCTGACGGTATAGCAAAGGATACGAGACAGCTAAACAGCGATCCCTCTGAGGTCCACCGAAGTCGCCGAAGTGTCGATGATGATGATCCACAGGTTAATCATGGGCAGCAGCAACAGAAGACCCTTTCCAATTACCTCGCAGGGCATGCAACAACCCAGGCGGCAGTGGGCGCCTCATGGGCTTTTGATAGGGGGG